GGGCCTGTAGATGTGCTTTCTTGAGCAGGGGGACCTTGCGGGCACAGCAGGATTTCAGTCCTTCACGGCGTAGTGTGTTACCAACTGTTTTTTTTTTGGTGGCTATGGTCCCAGCTGTCTTGAGATCATTGACAAGTTCCTCCTGAGTAGTTCTGGGCTGATTCTTCACCGTTCTCATTATCATTGAAACTCCACGAGGTGAGATCTTGCATGGAGCTCCAGACCGACGGAGATTGGCAGTTAATTTACGTTTCTTCCATTTGCGAATAATCGCACCAACTGTTGTCACCTTCTCACCCAGCTGCTTGACGATGGTCTTGTAGCCCATTCCAGCCTTGTGTAGGTCCACAATCTAGTCCCTGACATCCTTGGAAAGATCTTTGGTCTTGGCCATGGTGAAGAGTTTGGAATTTGGATTGGTTGGTTGCTTCTGTCAGCTCGTTACCTGTATAAAATACACCTGGGAGCCAGATATCTTGCTGACTGATAATTCATTCATGAAAATGCAAATTACTTTATAACTTTTTTCGTAATGCATTTTTCTGTATTTTTTTGTTATTGTTGTGTCTCTCACTGTTCACATAAACCTACTATTGACATTGTAGACTGATCATTTCTTTGTTAGTGGGCAAACTTACAAAATCAGCTGGGGTTCAAATAATTTTTTCCCTGACTGTATGTAGTGTGTCAGCCATCTACGTCCATCGGGAGTCTAGTAGCCTATGCTATGATATGTTATGGTATAAACAAAATGTGCCTAGTCTGACTTATCCACTACTCTGATTGTTGTCTCCATTTACAGACCTTTCTGGAACAAACCAAAACAAAGTTCAGTAAGAACTACAAGGGAATGAATTTATCAAAGATCACAACAACAGTTGGCCTGAACAGTAAGTGAATGTTTCAGTATGTGTTCATTTGTCATGATGAGTGATGCGGGGGCTTATAACTCCAAACACTGGCTAATATGGGTTCATCACTTTTCGCTTACCCCAACAAAGTAGACAGATTACCCATTTCTCCTGTAAGAGTAGCACTGTTTCATTTCAGGTTTTAATGAGTGAAGTGTATGATGACTGCTAGTGTTCAAAGTCAATCAAATTGTGATCCTTGGCTGGCTTTTTTTTTTTTTTTTAACAATCATTACTTTGGAAAATCATATTATTGCAGAGCTGCTTTCTGAAAGACAAACTTAAGCCAGCTTGCTTTTATGACACTGTAGTCCTCCACGGTAATGACCTGATGCTCCTTGTCTTATGGTTTATACTTGGTGCCTGGTTCCTCCCACTGCTATATAACGTTTCTCATGGCGGTCTCACTTTCCTTCACAGTTGGTACAATTGATGTGGGCAAGGCCCGTCTGATGTTCTGGGATCTGGGAGGTCAGGAGGAGCTACAGTCTCTGTGGGACAAAGTAAGTTATAAACAACACAACTACATCTTGAGGGTAACAACCATATACAGTCCCAACCCACGTTCTTCATGTCTGAGCTGAGGGATCTCTTCAGCAGAGTAACAAAATCTTATTTTTAAAGCAGAAATATGTTGCATATGTAAATATGTATTTTCAAATGTCCCATTTAACTGTCCTAGCCCAAATTAAACAGAAGGCATAGTGTACTGTATTCAGCTTTCTACAAAGTAAACTCAGCTGTCTTTTCTACAATGAGGAATCAAGGACACAGTTAGGGAAACAAGAAATATGTGGAAAAAAAATTGACCAAAATAGAACAAAAAAGTCTTAATGTTTCAACATGTATTGAAGTGCAGCGGGGGCTTGGTGTTCACGAGAGAACTGAGCCACAGAGCTCAAGTTCATAGCATCAACAAATGGGCAGGTTTCCATCCACATTTACTGCTGATTATAAAGTACATATACAAACAGTATCTATTTAAAGCTACAGTATGCAACTTAAAGGATAAGGATGGCCATTTTTTATATTGCCAGGATTTTCAGCAGTTTCCATACAGAGACTAAACCAACAATGAACTGCCTCAACCCACGGTTTATGTCTGTCAGCTGTCAGTCCTTGATCAGCTTGTTTGTCTGTGCCATAAACCTCTATGTTGTTCAGAAGTGATTAAAACACATCAGTGAAACACACCACTGCACTGGGTAACATGCTTCTTCATTAGCAAAACACAGACCTGAGTGTGTGGAGCTAGCAGGCTGTAAACAAAGCTGAGAGCTCGCACAAGATTTCACGGATGTGCAGTTGACTCTGTCTCGTGCTAACCTCAGGAAATTATGGCAGCAACAAGAATTTGGGGCAACATAGGCAGGTCTGGGTTCAAGATGTGTTTTCCCTAACCCAAATCCTAACATTAACCTAACCACAACCACTGAGAGGGTTGCTACATGAAACCAAGTTTTGAAAATGGGAAACACATATTGATGGAGGAACAAAAGACACTGACAAATAAGCTATTTTTATACTGCATGAAAGTGGACGGTAAGACGAACTGCAACAACATTAATTAATTTGAATTTCTCCTCCATAGATGGGTAAACAACAGTATATGTACCAATGAAAAGAGATGTGTAACACTCTAAACAAAGCAGGTAATTGAGAAACATATTGTAACAGGCATAATGCAGACATAGTAACTTCTCCAGCCTTATAACAATTCTTTACAGAAACAAAGCATTAACAGACATGCAATTTCTGTGTATGATTTAGTTTAGTTTTTTTTATTTTCCCCCACTTGCCATTAAGTCCCCCTGGGTAGTCGAAACATCACTCCCTTTCACGTAGCTCGTCGCATAACATGCAGCAGACACACTGGCCTCAAGCAGTCAAAACAAACAAGTACTGTGCTCCAGCAGAATCCAGTTTTCTCTGGACCCCTGCCCAGTCTGACAAATGACGACATGTTTAGCTGCATGTCGTCATTCAACCACTGGCTGTCTAGGTGTTGCCCAGAAAATGACGTGGGCTTCATAGACAATTGGAAAACATTTTGGGGAAATCCTGGTGTGATTAGCAGAGACGGCATCCACCCCCCTTTGAATGGTGTGGCTCTCATATCTAGAAATCTGGACAGGTTCATTTTACAACCTAAATTATGACAACCCAGAGTTGAGTCCAGGATGCAGGGTCGCAGTCTTAAATGCCTCTCTGCTGTTTCTTTGCAGCTGCTCATTACCCAAAACTCCCAGTAACCCATAGAAACTGTCTGTCCCCGACCACTTAATTTAGTATATATGAATCAAAAATGACCTCGAGGAGTTATTCATATGAATCTAATTAAAATTAAGACTACTCCTCTTACAGAGCAAATTAACAGGGCAATCATTTGTGGACTATTAAATATCAGATATCTCTTGTCCAAATCTCTGTTGTTGAATGATTTGATAAGCGAACATCACATTGATTTATTATCTCGTCGAAACCTGGTTACAGCAGGAAGAATATGCCAGTCTAAATGAATCCACCCCACCTAGTCACAGTAACTGTCACATCCTTTGAAGTGCAGGCCAAGGTGGAGGTGTAGCAGCGATCTTCGACTCAAGTCTATTAATCAACACTAGACCTAAACATAGTTTTAACTCATTTGAAAGTCTCTGAGTCTGTCACACCCAAAGTGGAAAACTCAAAAGCCAGTTTTATTTGTTATTGGATACTGTCCGCCTGTCCCTCATTCAGTTTTCAACTGAATTCTCAGACTTTCTGATTTAGTGCTTAGTACAGATAAAATAATCATAGTAGGCAGCTTTAATATCCATGTAGATATGACAATGACAGCCTCAACAATGCATTCTGTTCATTGTTAGACTCAGTTGGCTTTTCTCAAACTGTAAATAAACCCACTCACTGCTTTAATTACACCCGTGATCTTGTTCCGACATATGGCATCGAAACTGAACACTTAAGTTTTTCCTGAAAACCCTCTTCTGTCTGACCATTTTCTAATAACTTTTGAATTTAAATTCATGGATTTTAAAGTATGTGGGGGGAAAATTCTATTACAGTAGATGTTTATCTGACAGTGCTGTTACCACATTTAAGGAAATAATTACATCACTATTTACTTCACTATGTGCCAGCACAGTGGAGGGAGGCCACCTTAACTTTACTCCCACACAAGTCTATAATCTTGTTGATAGTGTTACAGCCTCCCTGTGTATGACACTTGATACTGTTGCCCATCAGAAAAAAGAAGGCAGTGAAACAGAAGAGGCTAGCCCCATGGTACAGCTCGCAGTTCCATCACAGTACACAAACTGCACTGGTGAAAGTCACCAATGATCTCCTCCTAGCCTTGGACAACATCTTGCTACAGAGACTAGAACATGTTAATGGGATTAACGGAACTGCACTAAGTTGGTTCAAATTTTATTTATCAGATTCCAGTTTGTTCGTGTTAATGATGAATCTTCCATGCAGACTAAAATTATTCATGGCGTTCCACAGGGCTCTGTGTTAGGCATTGGGTGAGAGGCGGGTACACCCTGGACAGGTCCTCAGTCTATCACAGGGCTGACACATAGACAACACACACTCACATTCAGTCCTACAGGCAATTTAGAGTCACCAGTCCACCTAAGATGCGTCTTTGGACTGTGGGAGGAAGCCAGAGTACCCGGAGAGAATCCACGCAGGCGCAGGGAGAACATGCAAACTCGAACACGGAACCTTCTTGCTGTGAAGTGACAGTGCTAACCAATATGCTACTGTGCTGCCTAGGTCCATTTCTGTTCACTTTATACATGCTCCCTTTTAGGCAATATTATTGGGAAACACATTGTAAATTTTCATTGCAACACAGATGATACTCAGTTATATTTATCTATCAGATCAGTTGGTCAAACTTCAAGCATGTCTTACATACATAAAGGCCTGGATGACCTGTAATTTCTTACTTCTTAGCTCCAACAAAACTGAACTTACTGTACTTGGGCCTGAAAACCTTAGAAATCTGCTGTCTAACCATATAGTTACTCTCAATGACATACAGTAGCTCTCGCCTACAGTACTGCTGTGAGGAACCTTGGAGTCATTTTTCATCAGGATATGTCCTTTAAATCACACATAAACCAAGTCTCTAGAACGGCCTTCTTTCACCTACACAATATCACCAAAATCAGGAACATCCTGTCTCAGTGTGATTCTGAAAAACTGCTCCATGCATTTGTTACTTCTAGACTAAACTACTGTAACTCTTTAATATCACCATGTCACAGTCTTCTTCTTCTTTCGGCTGTTCCCGTTAGGGGTCGCCACAGCGAATCATCTGTTTCCACCTAACTCTATCCTTGGCATCCTCTACTCTCACCCCAATTAACTTCATGTCCTCTTTTAGCACATCCATATATCTCCTCTTTGGCCTTCCTCTTGACCTCTTGCCTGGCAGCTCCATCTCCAACATCCTTCTACCAGTATAACCACTATCCCTCCTCTGCACATGTCCAAACCATCTCAATCTGGCCTCTCTGACCTTGTCCCCAAAACAGCCTACCTGAGCTGTCCCTCTGATGTGCTCATTCCTAATCCTGGCCATCCGGGTCTCTCCTAAAGAGAACCTCAACATCTTCATCTCTGCTACCTCCATCTGTGCCTCTTTTCCTCACTGCTACAGTCTCTAACCCATACAGCATAGCTGGTCTCACTACTGTCTTGTACACCTTTCCTTTGATTCTTGCTGCACACAACCCTCCTGACACCTTCCTCCACCCACTCCAACCTGCCTGCACTC